CTGTACAGTCTGCGACACTACACACTCAGCCTTTGCATAAGCGATATTTCTGAGTGAATTTAGAGAACCATCAGCTACCTTGGATCCTTCTGTACTTCTGACCCACCTCTTCTTTGGGGGACGCCTAGCACTCTTTCTCCCAGCTTGGAGTGCGATAACAATGGACAGGTGGGTCTTGGATGTCACTCAACGTGGCTATATGATTGAGATCACAATGCTACCTCATCCACATCTCCCATCCTGATCCTGCCTCTGGGACCACTCTCATGACAGTATTCTTGCCCTAAAGGTGGACTCCCTACTGCAGAAGGGAGCAATAGAGGCTGTTCCTATGGCCCTGCAAGACACGGGGTTCTATTCCACATATTTCCTGGTACTCGAGAAGAAGGGAGGATGGAGACCAATCCTAGATCTCTATTGTCTCAACCGCTTCATATGCAAACCAAAGTTTTGTATGGTCAGCCTTGCAGCCATTATATCCTCACTAGAAAAAAAGGCATGTGGTTTATGACTCTTGATATGCAAGACGCTTATTTTCACATAGATATTCATCCTACCCATAGGCAGATCTTGAGATTCACTGTAGGCCCTTGACACTTCCAATACAAGGTTCTACCATTGGGACTCACCACCGCTCTGTGGGTTTCCACCAAATATTTTTCTATAGTGGCGGTCCATCACCGACATCAAGGAATCCTCATATACCCTTAGCTTGATGACTGTCTGCTAGCAGCACAATCCAGACAAGAAGCTCAAGCCTCGACCTCCCTGCTGCTCCTACTCCTTTCCTCTCCGGGGTTGAGCGTAAGCATCAAAAAATTGATATTAGATCCCACAATCCTTAGTGTTCATGGGGGCATTCATTAATGTGATCTCTGCGTGTGCCTATCTACCAGAGGACAGGTTCCAGATCATGCAAGAACTGATTGTCATGGTGACTTCCAGTCATTCTGTTCCAGCCAGAACCTGCCTTTCCCTTCTTTGGCACATGGCGGCATACACGTACATCACTACCTTTGCTCATATCACTTCTGCTATCTACAGCTGTGGCTACAGAGAATCTATTCTCCTATGCACCATTCTGTGGACCTCTTGACAGTTCCCCCTGAGGTTCTCGCCTACCTTCGATGGTAGACAGACCCAGTTCAGGTTTGCACCGGGATACCCTTTCTTCCGTCCTCCCCATGCATGACGATCATCGCAGATGCATCACTCAGTTGATGGGGTGCTGACATAGGCGAGCACATGACATAAGGAACTTGGACTGCTCGGGAATACAGGATGCACATCAACATCCAAGAACTTAGGACGGTAAGAAAAGCATCTCATGCATTTCTCCCGTGATGTTCTCCTCATGTCAGACAACACCACCACTGTTTACTACATAAACAAACAAGGGGGCGCGAGGTCATCAGCACTTTGTGCAGAGGCGGTTCGTCTCTGAGACTAGTGCATCACACACAAGATACTGTTGTTAGCAGCCTATCTTCCGGGGAATCAGAATGTGATTGCAGACTCTCTCAGCAGGAAATTCATGGCCGATGACGAATGGGAGCTACGTGACTCTGTGATTGTTGACATTTTTGACCGCTGGGGACTCTGACCAGAGACCTTTTCGCCTCCTGCACCAACAGCAAATGCATCCAGTACTGCTGCATGGGGGGGCTTGGCACCCTTTCCCAAGGTGATGCCCTAGTCATCCACTGGCCGGAGCAGATCAATTTTGCCTTTCCTCCTCTACTGTTCCTGCCAGGGGTCCTCACAAGATGAGAAGGGAAAGAGCTATGGTCATCCTGATGACCCCATTCTGGCCTCGTTAATTCTGGTTTCCCCTCCTTCTCTGCATGTCGGCGCATCCCCCTGCTTCCGCTGCCGGTTTCTCCAGAACTGCTCACACAACACAGTGGCAGAATCAGACATCCCAATCTGCAGACATGTCACCTGAGAGCTTGATTTTTTGGATGGGCATCTTCAGTAGAGCGGGAACTGCTCACACAACACGGTGGCAGAATCAGACATCCCAATCTGCAGAAATGTCACCTGAGAGCTTGATTTTTTTGGATGGGCATCTTCACTAGAGCGGAAATGTTCATCAGCAGTGCAAGACATCCTCTCAAGTAGCAGCAAAGAGTTCATGAGGCAATCCTATAGGGCTAAGTGGAAACTTTTCATCTCCTGGTCCCAGCAGAAGGGTCTTGTCCCTGAGGCTGTGGGTATTCCTCTTTTCTTGGACTATTTCCTATCCCTGAAGGCATCAGAACTTGCTCTTAACTCCATCGAGGTGCACATGGCAGCTATTAGTACTTTCCACCCCCTTGTGAAGGGACACTCTGTCTTTATGCACCCCTTGACTACAAGGTTTTGGAGAGGCCTCTTATGGACTTGTCCTCCATTTAATCCGTAGCTTCCCAGTGGCGCTAATGAAATTGCCCTTTGAACTGCTGGCCTCCTGTGTCTTCTTTCCATGAAGGTCACCTTCCTGGTAGCTATTATCTTCACAAGGAGGTTAGGCAAACTGGGGCTATGATGGCGGATCCCCCCCCCCCTTACCATGTTCCATAAGGACAAAGTTTCCCTGCGCTTGCACCCCAAGTTTTTGCCAAAGGTTGTTTCCCGTTTTTCATCTCAACCAACCCATCCACTTGCCTGCTTTCTTTCCGAAAGAGCATGCATTAGTGGAAGAATGACACTTTCACTCCCTCGGCGTCCGCAGGGCCCTGGCCTCCTACCTGCAGAGGATGAGATCCTTCAGAAAGTCCCCTAGGTTGTTTATCACTGTAGCAGGAAGGATTAAGGGGCAAGCAATCTCCACTTAGAGGATTTCCAAGTGGATTTTGGGGTGCATTATGTTCTCTTATTGACTATTGGGACTGTCTCTGCCCTTTGGAGTATGAGCCCACCCCAAGAGAGCGCAAGCATTGACTTTGGCTGCGCTTCATGACGTACTGCCTACGGACATATGTTGGGCAGCCACCTGGAGAACTTTACATACTTTCTCTTCCCATTACGCCTTGGTGCGAGACTCTGTAACAGGTGCCTTTTTCAGCGCAGCTGTTTTCTGTTCCCGTCATTTTTCCTCTCACCCTCCTCTTAACTAAGTACTCCTTGTCAATTGCCTTCAGTGGAATACAATAGGGAGCATCACTCGAAGAAGAGAAGGTTACTTTCCTGTAACTGGAGGTTCTTCGAGATGTGTGGTCCCTATCTGTATTCCACTTCTCCTTCCCCTGGGGACTTCTTAGATTGTGGTGGAGAAGGAACTGAGGGCACAGTCTGTCCGCTCTGCCCTTTTTCATCTTGTACAAAAGCATGAGGCGAAGCAAGGGTGCATGCGTGGATGAATGCACACTACTACTTTCAAAATCTCCAGCTCTGGACGCATGACGTATGTGTATAACCTGTAGTGATATACAGATAGGGACCACACATCTCAAAGAACCTCCAGTTACAAGTAAGTAATCTCCTCTTCCCTCCACCTCGTCCACACATACCATATCCATATAGGTTGCAATCCTTGTCATGCTGGTTTCCTTGGAACTTGCAGACTCTGCTTAGAAATTCTTATCAGCTGAGTAAGTTAACTCCATCTCATATCAAGGCACAGTCTGCTACAGCTCAAGCAGCCTCCTTTGGCTTTTTAAGAGGCATCTCTATATTTGAAATCTGAAGAACTGCTTATTGGAGCTCCATACATGTTTACAAGCTGCTATTCTTTAGTGTCAGCCTCTAGATCCGATACACAGTTTGGCAGGGAAGTTTTACAGTACTTATTTAAATAGGACTCCTAGCACCCAGCACCTTAGAGAGAGAGAGAGAGAGAGAACTGTTTGCTAGTTGCCTTCAGTGGGATCTATGTGGATACATACTTGAAGAAAAATGGTTACTTACCTTATAGTAACTGTGGTTCTTCAAGATGTTTTGTCCACACAGATCTATGATCTACCCCCCTTCTCTGCTAATCTAAAGTCCTTTTAGCTTTGGGGATTCTGTATTGGTGAAGGAACTGAATAGCAGTTAGGACTGCCCTGCTATTTGTGCCCTCAAGGGAAGGCCTTAAGGACAGTCAGGGCTCATGCTGGGGCCCAATGTATACTGCTAATCAAAAAGAATCTAGTCTCAGGTGCATGCGCATACAGAGTGGTATCCATGTGGATAAAACATTTTGAAGAACCAGAGTCACTGTAAGGTAAATAACCATTTTTATTAGTTTTGGAAGGAGCTCTACATGTATTTACAGAAATTGATAGCTTTGTAAGGTAGTAACTTATAAAATTCCTGGTAGTGCATCCAGTTAGAATGAATTCAAATTATATATGTGATATTCTTGTCATTTGAATACACCAGTTTAATGAGTCTTCAAAAGACTGTTTTAATTTAATTTCTTCTAAAATGCCACTGGGAAACATATTGAATACAGAGTCCCAGATCCTGCAAATGTTCCCTCTGGATGGATCTCTTGTGCCCATATGGAACAAGTTGCAGCATCAGGGTCAGTATCAGTGCAAAAATGCTTTCTCCTTTAGAGCACTTAATTTTTTTAGAATAATCAATAAGGCCCCGATCATGCAAACACTTATGTATCTGCTTGAGAAGATATTTCTCACATGTAACTTATGGTGAACCACTTTGTACAAGAAATCCTATCACAGACTGATCTCCTTTACCAACGCCTCTGTTCCCGAGTACTTCGTTCTCAAAACCTTTTGTTTTGTGAATGACCTGGAAGATCCCTGTGGACAACTGGTAGTCGAAAGACAATAGCTTGAGAGTTACTACCCTGGACTGTAATTTGGTTTTATTTTAAATGTACAAAAATGTGGGCTTTTTTTTTTTATTTTTAAGTTTCAAATTGAAATGGTACAGTGTTCTTTTAGGGTTCTTTTTTTTCTCTTCCATCCATTAAAATGTTCTCAAAGTGCAGAAATGTGTCAGAATATCTGATGTATCAATGCGTTATATCTCTGAAGATTTTGACATGGAAATTTTTTCTTTTTTCTCAGCAAATTTGACAGGCCATGCAGAGAAGGTGGGCATCGAAAACTTCGAACTCTTGAAAGTTCTTGGAACAGGAGGTAAGACTTTTCTTCTAAGGTGACCTTGGAGGTAATGTTCTTTAGTGCAGTTTTGTTTCCTAGCTCAGTTTTTGGAAGAAATTATCTAGGGAGTAATTGTAACAAATTATTTAGGGGGATTTGTCTTATAAAATAAGGCAAAGACAACCTGGGATATGTAAAAAACAAATATGCACAATTATATCCAATTTTTTTCACATAAAAGAAGCATCCTTTTGAAAAGATGGGCAAATAGAACATTGACCAGTGATTCACATGACAGTATAACAAAACATTTAAAATCTGGTACTAAGTTATAAGGCATACTCTTGACGTTTTCATTAAATTCTTCAGACCACTACAGTTGATGAAGATCACAGTTTGTGGAAAAACAGGAAAGTCTGCATTTTCATCAACAGGAGTCTTAATTCTTTTTAACTACACTTTTTCACAGAAGTATCATTGGTGGCTATGTCTGTTTTGTCATGCAAGCAGAATACCACTACTTTTTAAGAAGATAAATGAAAGCACTCAGTATTGGATTTTGGATTTTATTATGGTAGGGGGAGCTTTGCGTGTGTGTGCATGCATGCACTCCTTTAAAAACATTTAGCGCTAGAGAAAGACGGTGGGTTGATATTTCAAGAGACAAGATTCCCTCTCTGTACTTAGAAAATGTACAGCAAGAGTAATAGCAGTCTATGCTTCCTCTCACTGTTTTTGCCACTGTTCTTCAACACTAACTTGGAGGAACAAGGGTTGCAGTGGTAAGAAGGGATTTCATATCTGTGGCCGTTCAGTGATTGTGCTCTGTGGGATTGCCAAAGAATTCCAATTGTGAGAATAGATTTTAATGTGGTGGGCACTTAACTGCTGAGATCACTGAGTTCTCAGTTTAACTGAGATCACCAATTCTTTTTATATAAGCCATCAAATAATCCGGAGTAGGAGAGAGGACTCATGGTGACAGCAAAATTCCATATTGCATCTCTTGCTAATTAGTTCAAATTTGGTAATCAGGCAAAAGCAGTTGCCAAATTGCTTATTCTCCTCAGAGAAATCAAAATGTTCTACATCCCTGTTTATGTCAAAATCAGAGGAGGAAGTGTAAATGGTAGAAAAATAAATTGGGGCAATGCCTTGTGCAGAAGCAGGGAAAGATCTCATGATGGCTCCCTGCCCACATGGCGTGGGAAAACACCTCGCATACCAAGCATCTCCGAGCAGGTGGAAGAACATTCTCCAGAGAAAATTAACAATCCTAGTATCCGTGAGGAACATGGACAAATGTTAGAGGATACCCTTCCACATTCCTCTCATCTTGCTGTGGAGTTTCTGTAGCTAGATTTTCAAAATTTCTAGGAAAAAAAAGGGGGGGGGAATCCACTAAGATCTAAGGAGGTACTAGCTGACTTCTTTTCCAGTGAAGATGGAGCCTTAGGAGGCTGTGATGCACAAATTTTAGATTTTAAGGTAGATGGAATTAGTGTGATCATCTAGTGTCTGACCTGAATAAAACAGGTCATAGGACTTCCCTGAATTATTTCCTGTTTGAACTAAAGCATATCTTTTAGAAAAGTATCCAACCTTCATTTTAAAGTTGCCAGTGATGGAGAATCCTCGATAATCCTTGGTAAATTGTTCCAATGGCTAATTACCTTCATTCTTAAAAATTTGTCTCTGATTCCTAGTCTGAACCTGTCTAGCTTTAAAGTCCAAAGGTTGTATCTTGTTATATGTTTCCCTGCTAGATTGAAGAGCCCTTTCTTATCACATTTCTTTTCCCATGTAGGTACTTAAAAACTGTGATAAAGTCACAGTTAACCTTCCCTTTGTTAAACTAAGCGGTTTGAGCTCCTTATGTCTATTCCTATAAGGGCGGGGTTCCCAAACTTTGTCTCCTGACGCCCACCTGTGCAGTTACAATAGGCATTATGGCCCGCTATTAACACATTAATTTTGTTACATATGTATAAACTAACACTAAATAAACAAGGTACATGTTTACTTTTCATTTTAATGTAAATGATTGTAATAATAGAAATCTTTAGCAATATGTAGTCAAAGAAATGCTTCAAGATCTTTGAAACCAAGCAGTTTTAGTAAAACTACACTTTAAAAAAATGTGTTTAAACAGGGAAAACACAATTTGTATAAAACTGAACATAAGCAACGCAACAAAGTTAACAAAATTGTTAAGAAAAAAGTTATTTGATTTTAAAACAAAATAGTTGTCCAACTTTGAACACTATGTATTGTTTTCAGTTTTTAGTGTAAAATCTGAATTTCTGTTCTGGGTAAGTAAAGACCCAACCCTATTCTCTACTAATTAGAAAAGAGTCAAATACTTTATATTTTTATTTACAATAACTTACAGACCAGGAGTCTTCTTAATGGGATGGATGTGCCTGCTTCTCCTTGCACTGGTTTTCCAGCTGGTGATGTCTGTTAGTGAGGCTCAACCTGATCTCATTTTCAATTTTCAGCCTTTCAGCCAGCTCAGGGTGCAGGCAGGAGGTAGTTAGGAGCTTTGTCCCTGGGGGAGTATAACTCAGGGTGTAGGAAGAGGGGGTGGCTACAGCCTGTGTTAAGGCAAGGTGGTAGCTCAAAGTGCAGGCAGGGGCTGTGTCTGAAAGGGTGCTGCTGCTATGGAGCCCAGCCTTGCACTCGATCCCTCATTAACAGTGGGGGCAGCTCTGCTCCTTGTGGCTCTGTGAGTGCCGTGTTGTCCTGTACATTCACTGTGGCTGTGGACACTGAGGACTACAGTTACACTTGAGCCTAGCGGGTGCGGCATCCATTATTCAGCCCACATGGGGAAGCTGAGCTGGATGCACAGAGCATCTGGTGTTGCTGTGCTCCCTCTCCGCACCTCCAGGGAGCTCAGGGCTGGAGGGCGAGTGTTGATGCCAGGTGCTCACAGAGCACCTGGTATCGCTACTTGCCCCCACCCCCAAAATGCCACCCATGATGGCAGACCACACGGGACTGTGCACAGCCTACCTTTGGGCCGCGGCCTACAGTTTGGGAACCCTTGCCTATAAGGCATGCTTTCTCATCCTGTAATCTTTCTCGTGGCTCCCCTCTGAACCCTCTTCAATATATCAACATCCTTCTTGAATTGTGGACACAAGAACTGGACATAATATTCCAGTAGCTGTCAAGCCAGTGAAAAATACAGAGGTAATATCACCTCCCTACTGCTACTCAAATTTCCCCTGTTTATGCATCCAAGGATTACATTAGTCCTTTTTGCCACAGTGTCATGCTAGCCTCCATAACCTCAGAGTCATTGCTTCCCAGGATAGAGTCCCCTACTCTGTAAATATGGCCTATGTTCTTTGTTCTTAAATGTATGGCTGTTGCATTAGGCAATATTAAACTGCTCTGTATCAGTGACCTGTACGCCTCATTATTTGACTCCCTCAGTCTTTTGTTATATGCAAACTTTTATCAGTTATGATTTAAAAAATTTTTCCCCAGGACACTGGTAAAAATGTTAAATCATGTTGGGCCGAGAATGAATCCCTGCAAAGGCACCACTAGAAATATGCCCACTTGATGATGATTCCCTGTTTACGGTTCTAATTTGAGACCTTTCAGTTGACCAGTTTTTAAGCCATTTAATGTGTGCCATGTTGATTTTGTATCTTAATCAAAATGTTGTACAGCACCAAATCAAATGCCTTATAAAAGTCTAAGTATATTATATCAACACGATTACCTTTATCAACCAAACTTGTAACATAATACAAATATTATTGTTATTTTGACTAGATCTATTTTCCATAAACCCATTTTGATTGGCATATTATATTACTCTCCTTTAATTCTTTATTAATCAAGTCCTATATCAGCCACTCCGTTATTTTGCCTGGGATCAGTGTCACGCTGACAGGACTATAATTACCCGAGTCATCCCATTTTTCCTTTTTAAATATTGGCACAATATTACATCTTCCAGTTCTCTGGAACTGCCCTGGTATTGCAACAGATTTTGGAAATCAACATTAACGGTTGAGTGTGCTCATTAGACAGCTCTTTTAAAACTCTTGGATGCAAGTTATCCAGTCCTGTCAGTTTAAAAATATCTCTCTTTAGGAGCTGCTGTTTAACATTTTCATGAGTTACCATTAGAATGGAAAGTATTTCCATCATCATCATCATCATCATCATCATCATCATCAATTCACTTTTTCCCAAGTATAGAACAGAATTACTTATTAAACATTTCTGCCCTTTCTCCATTATTACAGCCAGTTCTACCATTTCCATCTAGTAATAGACTAATACCATTGTTAGAATTCTTTTTGTTCCTAATGTAGTTAACAAAAGTTCCTTCTTACTGTCCTTAACTCTGCTGGCCATAGATTTCTTCTTGTCTTTTTGCTTCTCATCAATTTTCTACAATTCCTAGCTTCTCATTTATATTCATGACTGTCAACATCCGTTATCTTCCATATGTTATGTTTTTTTATAGTTACTTTCACTTCCCCTCTAAACCGGATTGCTTTTTGGGGGGGTTTATCTTGCTTTTTAAAAAAACAGCATAGCCTTCTTTCTTGATTGTGGATTGTAGCTTTTGGGGGTCTTAAGAAAAGTTCGTAAACAGTCCCCAATTATCATTCACATTTTTTCTGTTTACATTCTTTCTCCCAACTGATTTGGCTCAGAATTGTTTTCAGCTTTGTGAAATTGCTGCTTTTAAAGCACCAAGTATTTGTTACTGGTTTGGACTTTGATCAAGACATGATTACTTGTACCTATGCTACCACTAATTTTTAAAAAAAGAACAGGAGTACTTGTGGCACCTTAGAGACTAACAAATTTATTAGAGCATAAGCTTTCGTGGGCTACAACCCACTTCTTCGGATGCATAAGAACTAATTTTTAGTTCTTCAAGGGAGTGTGCATGTCCATTTCACTTCAGGGGTATGTGTATTGTTGCCTGATTTTAGGAAGCTAATATTATTAATTTGGATAGTATTGATTATAGGCTTGCCAATTAATCTGATCAGAAG